GTATACACAATCATTCTGTAAAATAGGATAATTATAATTCTACAACTGTTTATAACTTGCATAGCTCATATTTTATATTTCTGTATAGTTTTCATATATATATCCTGTTCATACCCTGTACATAGCTTGTACACTCACTACAGCCTGTACATACTTATAGTATAGCAGATCTGTACGATCTACTGTACAATATAAAGCGACTTGAGGTGACTGTTGTTGTGATTTGGCGCTATATAAATAAAATTGAATTGAATCAAATTGAAATTGAATATTCACAACATACCTTCATATCGTGTACATTGTAACATACCCATAATAGACCCATTTCTGTAGTATATCTATATCTATATTATTGCTAATATATATTTTGTGATATATCTATATCATGGCTAAAGCACTTCTGGATGGATGCAAACTGCATTTCGTTGCCTTGTACCTGTGACATGTGCAATGACAACAAAGTTGAATTCTATTCCATTCTTTTCTATTCTATTCTAGAGGGTTGGAAGCCTGGAACACTCCACCTTGTTCTCCTCCATAAAAACGACATCAGCATCTGCTGGGTCCAAAATGGTCAGTTACTGTCATGGGGTTGAGTGTGAGGAGTGAGGACCCAAATGCAGAGGCCTCGAGGCAGGCTAAGTTTAACTGAAAGCAAGCCGTTTATTTTGGCTGATGGTAGAAAGTACAAAAGGTAAAATATAAAGTACAAACTTATGAAGCAAAAATTATTAACTTATAGAAACCAAAAAATTCCAATTAAAAACTGGAACCTCTGCTAAGGCTGGACATATTATAACTGGGAGTACAGACACTTTGACAAAGAGTATACGTAAAGAAAAGGAAACTTGAGAGAATGAGACAACTAAACAACTGAAGTAAATCAAAGCATACAAGACAAAGGGAGGAACTGAAAGAGGAACAAAACTAATGCAAGTATGAACTCAAATCATAACTTACACACTAACAGGAAAAATGCATGTGTGTGTAACTAGTAAGTCCAAAGAAAGTCCAAAAAGCTGAAATGCCAGGTAAATTGACCCAGTGTTTAGCTTTTAACTGCTGGAAGGAGTGATCGAGGTTTAGGAAAATAATACAAACAACAAAATTCAACGAAAAAGAGGTCTGTCTGCAGTTAGCTGCACCATGTTCTTAATTAATGTGTCCCAAGAGAGTGAGTCAGGTTTACAGAGTGACAGAAGAAGGTTACTGACCTTGGTTTGTGGTGCAGCTCAGCAGTGAGATCAGAACTAAAGAGAAATTAAACTCAGGTTAGTTCAGAGTTTAACATTCAACAAGACAGCAGAGGCATGAAAAACACAGAGTGAACTTACAGAGCAGACACAGCAGAGACGTTTCCTCCATCCTGCTGCTCAATGACATCAAACCAACACTGAGATCAGTTCATAGTTCACTACAACTACAACCCTCTTCCTCTTTCTTTGTCTGCCTGTCAGTTTTGTAACTTCATCCCCACTGTATATCATGAGAGGAGTTTCTTTGTTTGGCCAAAATAAACCAGAAACATAAAGTTTTAACTTTTAAACCAGAGCATAAAATAAAGACAACAGACTAACAGCAGAAACTGAATAACTACACATCTATCTCACTCATCTACAATAAGTGAGATAGATGTGGTTTGGACAAGGCAACGTCTCCCTGCTTCAACCACTGATTTTTGGTCAGAAAGAGAGGAAATAAACAGTGTGCCTACTTCTTTCTGCTTCACATTTTGAAAATCCTTGTTCCTTTAGTCGTGATCCTACATGTTTTTACACGTCTGAAAAGCCCATCAGACACAAAGAGCTGTGTTAATATAACTGCAGTGAAAACACAAGCAGAATCGGCCTTCATCTCCCTATGATATTCAGACAAAAAAAGTGTGTAGGTCTCTTTATATATGAAATGCAAATGATCATAAATCAGTGATTTGAAGACTTATAAAGGACATCCTGCCTAAAGATCATACAGAGCTGATAGAAAACATGGATGTTGATCTCCTTTAACTCTGTTAATGAGTTGTAGAAATGTCAGCGGGACAAGTGCTGTAGGGAGCAGTTCGGAAGAGGATTGGTCTGAAGGTGAAAACAGTTCCGAAGGTCGACCAGCAGATGACTTCTTGGAGTCGTCTGCTGGTTTGTTAGACCTCTGTGGAGGTCTAGTGACCATTGTCCTCAAAGGGAGGATGCGTTTAGGTCTGGAATCACCTTACCCTGGTAGAGGAATGTTCAGGCAGCTGCAGTGTCCAGTTTCCTTTTGAAAGAGGAGGTGAGCACAAGGAAGTAGCTGGTAAGAAACATAG